CTTTATGTCTAACAACAAATGTCGAATTCGCCATTCCAGAATACGTTTTTGCTTTCTTATTCGACATTTCATCAATGTCGCGTGTGACATTTAGAAATAGACATTCAAAAATAGCGCCCCAGGGGTCCTATTCTCGAATGTCTATTAAAAATGTCGCATTCGTCATAATGTCTACTACTAATGTCTATCAAAATGTCGATCGACTGACACTATCCATATTCTCAAAGTAAAATCGACAATTTGTAGTCGGTGACATATTTGGCGAATGGTAACATCTGGCAACATTGGATAGAAACATACAAGACGAGTATATTACAGCACACAATTACTTGAAGGATCCCTTAGTTATACTAATTAGAAAGTAGAGTAAATATAAGCTTTTAACTAAAATTTCATAAGGGATTAAATAGAAAATTGGAAGTACAATTTGGTAAGAGATTAAATAGTAAAAAGAAGAAATATATTATTATCACAGTATAATATAATCTAAACATTACATAAAATGTCTGATATAATCTTTTTACCTGCAATTTGAAAAAATAGAACTATATAAATTTCTTAATCACAGGTATTACATCTCTTTCATGGGCCGATTCCTTGAAGAGCAAAAAAGGCCCTTTTAGCACATTGATGCTTTTTCCAAAGGTTATTTCGCATTTCTTATTCTCAAGGGCCCACAGACTGATGCCCACTGAATGAGGCCCGATGCCTAAACAAGAATCGACTGCCCGAACGAGGACCCACTGCCCGAACGAGGCCCGCTTCCTGAAAGAGGGCCCTCAGCTTGAACGAAGGTCTACCGGTCTTTTGCCGGTAGACCTTAGGTGAAATTATAAATAATCATTTCATATATTTTTAAGAACAATTTGTACAATACTTATTTTCATTTCTCTTAAAAATAAATATAAACTGTCACTGTCACGACCCTTATGACATTATATTTAAAAAGGCATGCGACATTTCAATGTCGACTGGTTGAATACCACGCGACTTTATGTTTAACAACAAATGTCGAATTCGACATTCCAGAATACGTTTTTGAGTTCTTGTTCGACATATCATCAATGTCGCGTGTGACATTTAGAAATAGACATTCGAGAATAGGGCCCCCGATTCTACATCTACAAATTTGAAAAAAAGATTCTATAAACATGGGTCCGGAAATTCTCCGTTTTCATGATACGGGGTGTTTAAACTTTTCCATCTTATTTTTATTTCGAAAACGGTGGGTCAGAACGAAAAAGTCCGAGAGGACCTGCTCCCTAAACATTAGATAGACGCTTCCCAATCATATAATTAGAAATTCATACTATTTGTACAATATCGTGATTTAGGTTTTTGTGGTTTCCCTAAATCATATCCCCCACCTTATACTTGGATTTGTCCATTTATGAGGTTGGAAATAGCAAAATTGGCGATATTTTTGGGGAACACAACCTGCCACACAGGTCCCACACGCGCCCATGAAATATTAGGAAATAGCTAGGTTACTTATTGTAATCAGGGCAGTCCACCCTGAAAAGGAGGATAACTCCTATAGCAGGGAATAAGGAAAATAAGATGTCCTAGAAAATGTAAAATACTTATGAAAAAGTCAATATTAAACTAAAAAAAAAAAAAGTAGAATTAATCTAACTTTAAGAAAGCCACACTAGTTTTTGAAAAAAACCAGCGGTGTACAGTTTTTTTTGCTAAATATAAAGACGCCGACACGAACGCCACTAATAATGTAAGTGCTTTAGAAAACAATTTTGTACATGTGACCTTTCATGATACATTTGCTTGTACCAACTCATTTCAATATTTGAACGGGACATTGATAAATGTAAGATAAACTATTAAAGACGAAAGTTTAAACACCTCGTATTATGAAAACGGAGCATTTCCGGATCCACGTTTATATGAACTTTTTTTCATATTTTTAGATGTAGAATCTGCCATAAAATTTTCTTCACAACATTCTGTAGACATCCTGCTCTCCTGCCTGTCTCCTCTAGCTCTTTTCTTCTATTGTCTCCTCTTACTCCTCCTTTTACTGAACTCTCCTTTCTGCTATTCGATTCACACTTATCTTCAATTTAAATAAAACTTTTTTATTTCTTTTTTTTAATTCATCTCTACGATATAAAATCTACTTTAATATTTATCTATCTTAACTTCAATATAATATTTTCTAACTTACTTTTTATAAATTTCCCCGCTGTCAATTCTAAAACCCTGTGACATTCTTCCCAAAATCTGACAATTTCATTAATTTTTAAAATCCTCTACAATCGCCGCCACAACTCACAACCCTAGAAAAATCCGAATAACTTATCAACGCCAACGATACAGGACAGAAAAAATAAAAAACATGTATGTCAAATGACGGAATCATGACAATATACGCGTGTATATACGTTTTAAAACATAACAGTTCTTTTGAGTATTCTATATTTGTACCTATGCCCAATACCTTTATTACTTTACTTTAACGTTAAAATCGATAACTAATTCATACTATTACTAATTACTATAATTCCTTATTTCTAAACCAGATTTATTTAAAATATTCGTACTCATTATTCGATTTTTTCACGAGTACTCTCTAAACTTTACAAAAGTACTTATTTACTTTGAGTATTATTCATATAAGTACTCATACTCAGATATTTATGAGTACTTTGTAAAGCTACTCATTATGAAGTACCATTGAGATAGAATACAGAGAAGATGCTATGACGATGGTAAATTGTCCGCACCTTTCCATTACATTTTTACGTCAATGTCAAACTCGAGATAGTGTAGCTAGTCAGATTTGGTGAAAATAAATGACATTTTTTTTAATAGCTTCATATATATGATATAAAATCATTTTCATTCCGTCAGTCGTCAAACATAAAATTATTCACTTCAAATAAATGAAAGTACAACTCAAGTCGCCAATTTCATTACACTTTTTCGTCACTTGAAGTGCGTCCATTAGTCATATCGCAGAATAGTGTATGTCATTTCTACTTTATTCTATCTCAATGTGAAGTACTCATGAGTACTTTAGTGGCGTATTCTGCCAACTCCGGTCACAGCACATAACCTCGAAAAAATATTAAACACAGTGAAATGTGTCAACTTTCCATAGCCACCATGGATTTTAAAAGAAACTGAACGGCGTAATATACTACTACAACTAACACAGACATTCATACCCCAATACAAAAAAGAAGAAATAAAGATATAGATAAATAAATAAACTAATTTTGCATTTATCTCTAGTTTGAGTATTTCCGCGTTTATTTTTTGGCAGTTAATTATACCATTTTTTAACGTATTTAAAAAAATAATAACTTCTAAGCAAAAAAAGATTAATTAATTTCATTGATTAACATCCTTAAATGCATTCTGTGAAATTATCTATACAACGAAAATGTGAATTAAGTCACGCCACATTAAAAAACATTTGTGCTAAAAACATATAGGGTTTCATGGCAAAATTTATGTTTACAGAGTGTAGAACTATGTTTTGTATTAAATAATACCATTTGAACCTACCCCATAGGATTCCCAGGAATATCAGTTAGTAGTTGCCAAACTAGTAGATGTGAAGCTCCATCCTTGGGTTCATCATCTTCTGCAAATGTTGATATTGCGTAAGACTATTATTACTATGTTTCTTGTGTATATTTAAGTAGTTATGTGATATAATACAATAACATAAGAAAAGTTTTATGACCCAATCACCTAGAAAACGTTTAACTGAAACAGTCCCAGAGAGGTAAACTTTTCATTTTTTTTTTTATATATATATTAGAATATTTTTAAATTTGAATAGTTGGTATTAATCATTGACGAGGTGCATAATTAGACTGATTTTTATCTGTGTCAATGAATAATATGCTTTAGGAAAGTTGAAGTTGTTTTCAATTATGAAATATAAATTAACTTTTACTACAATTTCTATTTTATTTCAAATTATTGTATATGCAACCAATTGTACTCCAAAAAAAGTTGTATCTTAAATTCACAATATTTACAAAGGTTATACATAGATGTAGTATGCATATGATATTTTATAGTAACAAGGTATTGTGAGGTATGTTTGGACTAAGAATTCATAAAGTATAATTTTATACAATTGTGCAATATGGCAGTCTGTTTGCTTTTGAAGAGCCCCTCTTACTGTTTTTATAAAGAAAAGTCGGTAAATTGAAATATTAATGTGCCAGAAATTAAAAATTATACATTTCTCTGATATATCTACCCTGTTAGTGCTTTGAATATTTAAAACTACGGCATATTTTGTTGTATTTTATTATAAATCTCAATTCAAGTAGTTTTGTAACACTAAACAGTCCTGTAGAATTTTCGTTCATATTCTAAATAAAAAACCTAAAGCCAGTATTATATTATGAAAATTAAACGATCTCGTGAAACTTGTAAATTATCTATTTTATAACTGTAAATATCTACAATCCTTTGTTTCACTTAAAACATAGTAGGTATGTAAATGAACAAAAAAGCTTTTAATTACGTTTAGTTGATATCTAATTGCTAAATAAACAGCAATGTAATTCGCTTTTCTCGATAAAATAAAATATTTACAAAATCTTGAATGCTATAAAAATGAAAATATAACTTAAGTTTATGAAACTCTTACCTCTCCTTTAAGCTTCACGAAAAAGTTACAAAACTTTTTGAATCTTAACCACTATATACATGTGTTAGTAAATACATTTTGTGCAACACCACAAATTTTAAATAAACTTTTTTAGTTAATTTAATTTATTTTTGTTTTAATTAAGCATCTAAACAAGAGCTAGTAATTTATAAAATAGGTACAACAAGCATTACTAATATTATGTGTTTAAAAAATATAGTAATTACAGATAAATACACAATTTTAGTTATTAGTTAGTACACTATCCTTTATATTCCCAGGAATCCTTCAATTATTTCTATAATACAGAAAAACAAGCGCATGCAGTTAAGCTAATAAAGCTGGTAATAATACAACAAATCCTTACCGATTCTGAAATCTACATATCCTTCCCCGCCTGAAATAACCAACATGGCACTTGGTTGTTTCAAATTGTTACCAATCGAAGATACAGAAGCTGACATTGCCTCTGAAGGCGTTGAAGCTGAACTCATACCTGAAATATTTTTATTTAAAAGAGAAGGTTAAGGTAAGTAATTTTGTTTAATTTACTATAGGGAACAATATGGAGGTACCACAGGGTAGTGTTCTGGGTCCTCTACTATTTTTAATTTATATTATTGACCTTGCTAGTGTAGACAAAAGATAATCAATATACTCATTTTCGGATAGTACCCTGTTCTATTTTACCCATGAAAACACCAAAACTTACAGTTATTACAAATTTACAATTTAAGGAACATGCTAATAACGCCATCCAAAACATTTCAATTAAAATTAACCATTTGTGAAGAAACAAAATATTTTAAGTTATAATTAGGATGTTCATGAACACAATACAAGAAACAAGCAAAATTTTAGAGTACATAAGGCCACAAAGAAAATGTACACAAAATTAAGTTTTTTTAAGGTGAACAGTACGACAAGATTAAGATGACAAGTCAGAATTAGATGCACACTGGCAAATCTAAAAATGGGAGGAGTTAACGCGAGTGAACACAAATAGATCACTGAAACAATAGCATTGAAGTTCATACCATTAACTGAAATAACTCCTCCCATGATTATATTTGGCAGTGCTCATCTAATTCTGACTTGTCATCTCAATCTTGTCGTACTGTATAAACTTTTAATAATTTGCCTGAACAAATGCTCTTTAAACACAGCATGAGTACTTACTGACTAGTTGATATTTTTTTTATTATATTTTGTAAAGTTGATTTTGTTTTAACATTTTAAGAGTATGTTGACTAAGTTATACCTTTGTATTTTTATTTTATTTTAAGAGTGTGAATAGTCTTGTAAAATTAGTTATTTTTACTAAATAATAAATTTAAACAAAAACAATTCTAAGATTTTCTTTTATTGTATTATTATAAAATCTTACCACCATTTCCAGGTACAGCAACAAAAAACTTAACATTATCTCGGTGCCCATGAAAGCTGAGCTGAGCATGCGCCATCGTACAAAATGGTACAAAACTTCCTGGCGTAGGAGGTACTCGAACTAAAGCTCCTGGACCAGGTAGCAAAGTACCTCTGGGAATGACAGCACCAGAAGTGCCGTTGTTATCGCTTAACGGCACCGATATTATTACTCCATTACTGGTTCCTATCCACAGCCGATTCGACGAAATTAATAGACTAGTAATGCGAACTAAAGAAAAACCTAATTTACCCGTACCTAGAAGAAGAAAAAACAAACATTGCAGCATTATTTTTATATTTATAAACAGCAATTTGACTTAAGGGTAATGCCACAGGATAAAGAACAATACAGAAAAGAAACATAGGGCTAAAACAGGAACCTAGCAACCGAAGCCACACCTTCTTTATGGTGGAGCATTGTCAAAATTGAACCGTAGATTTGTTACTTGTTCGAAGTGCAACAGTGCACACTTTTATAGCAGATGAACGAAGCTGTCACTGCTGTCGCTGTTAAAAAATCAATATTTTTTCCTGTCGTGTCTTTATTTGTCGTTTTGGATTTTTGATTGTTTTTAGCGAATATTCTGATAACTTTTACGTTTTTTTAGTGGTTTATTTTTTGTTGATGTTTTTAATTGTGGAGTTGTTAATTTAAGACTTTATTGTACGTATTAAGATTAGGTTTATAAACAATGCCGCGTCAAAGAGGAGGAGGATATACTTGTATTTATCGTGGATGTACCTCAAGAACAGGTGACAAAGAAGGATTGTTCACTCTTGTAAAAGATCCAGTGAGGTAGGTATGAAACCTTGAGGGTGAAATAGGAATTGACCTTGCCATAACATGGTAGTACAATGATTGTATGTATTTTTCAGACTTGAATTGTGGCTTGAGGAAGCAAATAGAGAGAACTTATTGGGAAAGGGTGTTGAACACTTAAGTAAAAATTACAAAATTTGTGAACTACACTTCCAGGATAAATTCGTTTATCAGTCAGGAACAAGAAAACAATTATTTGCAAATGCATTCCCAACAGTATTTCCCCATTCAGAACCTACGAAAAGAGTCACAGTTTTGCAAGGTAAATAAATACAATTTATAGTTAAATGTTACAAAAAGTTTGCTACTTGTCTTGTCATTTTTTTACATAACATTTAGTAGTTTAAAAAATAAAATGATAAGTACTAATAATCTTAGAATATCTACCCATACATTCCATTTTGTAGAACTACCTCGGAGGTAAACTGCACTATGTCGACATACAACAACTTATGCAAATTAAAATAAAGTAGTTTGAGTAGTTAGGTTAGTAAAAAATATAAATATTGTGACAATAAATGTGTGTCTAAATGCATATCTAGTTGAAATTTAATAATTTAACAACATTCAATCTGCTGTACTAAAAAGTTGACTAAAATGACAGTGCAGTTTACCTCCTAGGCACAGAAATATATTCATATTTCATAAAATTATTTTAAATTTCATCTGGCTAATAAGTGTGACTCAAACATTTAATTCTGATGGATGATGCACCTTCTTGACACTACTCGTAGTTGATCTCATAAAAATTTTGTTTCTCTTTCTTTTTTTAGAGGAATTTGTTGTTCATGGCGAAGAAGGCAAAGACAACTTGTGTCTACCCTCAACTTCAGCAGAAGTAGAATTTATTGAACAAGTGCATAGTCAACCATCTGTTTCTCTACCTTGTGTAACAGCACAAATTCAAATGAGTAATGTGTTATCGTCAAATACTCCAAGAAAGCAGAGACTGCGACTGAAGCTAGCAACGTTGAGAAAACGTTTGTTTGGTGCAAAAAGAAGAAAAATAATTACTCATCATTTAATAGTTTTTATAAGTACCGTTTATATAATTATTCTATATTTTTGTTGTATATTAGGATATAGCTATTTTAATAAAGCTACTTATCTATGTATTATAAATTAGGCTTGCTCTTTAAATCTGTGTAAACAATTTTAATTTTCAAACAATTCTATTTTAATAAAATTCATGCACTAGATTGTAAACTTATCAATTGCATAAATACACGTTTTTATATTTTTCTTTTTTTTATTTATAAAATCCCTAAAATACGCTTTAGCTAATGATTTTTTAACAATTATCCCAATTGATTTAAAATTATGGATCATAAATGACTGGTGAGATTTGTGGCACAATATTAATAGTTCATTATGACAGGGTAAAATAAACTATTGTTTAAAACTTTATAATTTTTATTTTTGAAACCTCTGTCGGAAGTGCTACAAATTAAAAAATAATTTACTTAAATCAAGAATAGTTTCAAAGGCATTCATGCAAATTTTCATAAAATATGACACATAATTATGTAAAAGAGAAATGTAGTTTTCGCAGTGTAGGTTCAGTTAATAGCTACGTTCGCGTGTACTGTGAATAATTACGTTTTCTTAGAGTATCTTGGTGGTGGATCTCAAGGTCAAATATTTCTATCCCTTCAACTTCAAAGTTCCGACCATTACTTTCTTTTCTGTGTAATGCCATCTATTACCAACTCTATTTTCTAGCAAAGACAAATCTGGCAACACACGGCATTACGTCTATTGCATTGATGTTTAGTATACTTTTGAACCATATCGTGTTGTTTTGAATGGCAATTTATTTTGAAAAATGTTCTAAGTGAAATTAAAACATTTTTTTCTTTAATTAGTTTTTAAAAAATGTATAATAACAGAGACGAAATTTGTGATTTTCTTTTTGATAAATTGTGTAATAATTACGCAATAAAGTGGGTTTTATTGTTACACCTGTAGTGTTTTTAACCCCACTTTTAATCATTTAATTAAAATAGAACAGAAGTAAAAGTTGGAAATGCTTTTGCCAGTTCTCCCACTCATTGCGTTCGGTTTGCCACGTTCCTTTAACTCCTTTAACACTTTTAACTCCAAACGACTCTTTTAGCGTTCGGTTTAGTCCGATTAGTGACAGTTTAACACGCTTAAATGTCATTTAAAAGCACCCTAAAATTTGTCCCGCTCCAGCCCCTGACTGACCGAACTCGCCTACTTTATACACATAAATTGACAGGTTGCCAGCGGATCTCACCGAAGTGGACGCGATACATTGGCGTACAAAATTATTTTATAGATGTTAATAACAATTTCGAGTAAATAGTTTAATAAATTGTGAATAGCTGTTGAAATTTTGTAAAATTATGATTTGAATATTATAATACATGTTTAATAATTATTTATAATCCATAAATACATGCGATTGTCCGGTTCCGCCAATAACAATTTAAAATTACTTATTCTGTGAAACGACACTGGTAAGTAAACATTACTGCGAAATTCTCGGAGCCGCCCGACGTGGTTTGACGTTTACCCCCTCTCTACCTACCAAAAGACTTTTCAACTTTTACTTTCTCTATAAGTGTTAAAATAATAATCTTTCCTCCATGTGTTAAAAAGTGTCGGATGACCCGTTACAAGGTGGATAATAACTTTATTAATTATGTCCAGTAGGTACCTGCTGTATTCCTGGATGTAAGTACAATTTTAGTTAATTAGATTTTGGACAGATAAAAGTTACTTCTAATATTTTTATCCATAATTTTTGTTCTATACACAATTTTCCTAAAAAGGTCCGTATTCGAGAAATTTGACAAAATGTAAAAAAAATAATTTTTTATAAAAATTGTTCAAATAAAAGTTGTATGTAATATAATTAATTCTCTATAATTTTTATCCTATACATAATTTCTCTAAAATGGACCGTATTCGAGATATTTGAGAAAATGTGTAAATTTCGAATTTTGAAGAAAACTCAAAAACGGATAAAGAAAAAACCAATAAATTTTAAACTTAAGTTTTATTTCGGCCTGAAATGAAATGATTAGATTTTGGACAAAGTCGGAACATCTGGGGGGGTACTTTACCGTTTTTATATTTGATGGAATATATGTTATTTATGTTTGGAGAAGAAAATTGTTCAAATAAAAGTTACTTCTAATATTATTATCTATAATTTTTGCATTATGTCAAAATTTCCTGAAATGGTCCGTATTCGAGAAATTTGAAAAATGTGCAAAATTCTGATTTTTATGAAAATTGTTGAACTAAAAGTTGTTTGCGATATCGATCTCTATAATTTTTGTTTATACATGATTTTTCTAAAATGGACCGTAATCACAGCTTATACAATACAGCTCCACAACTCCGTGTCGGCTTCTTTGATGTGGCGGTCGAGAACCAAGCGAGACGGAATGGTGCTATCTCTGTTCGATTCGACGGAAAAGTCGGGCCCGGATTAAAAAATATATTTATTATTGAAATAATTGAAGACCTTGGCGTAATAAGGTTGGTTACATGCCACATTATTATAAGTTTTGAGAAATTAAGTTTTAAATTTGTTTTAAATCTGTCAAATATAAATAAAAAAATTATTTAAATATAAATATTACGAATAATAGCACATCTTTCGGATTAGAGATAAAATCATCGCGCAAAGGGTTTATAGTGTTTATACCTAGATAAACGACTGCTTCGACTGACTGAGGTCTGGGAACTCGATGATATTCTGGGTTATTATAAAGAATCGGTAACTTGTGCTTTTATTTTAACAATATCGGTTTTATTTAGATGTATTTTTATTCATAAAGATTTATAGAAGTAATTGACAGTTTTTATTTATATATTATATTTTTATCTGAGCGTACCGAAGTAGAGAATTTTGAAACTTGATAGTAATGTAAAATTTAAATTACAATATTATGCGAAATTATATAATTAGTAACTATTTTAGGTAGGTACTAAATTTGAAAATCTACAAATTAAAATAAATTATTTTAGGTTATTTAGACAAAATAATTTACGAATTTTACTAATTTATAAAATAAACGTATAAAAAATAAATTTAATTAGTCCCCGGCCTAGATTCGATCCCGGACTTTTCTCGTGGAAGGCAGATGCTCTGTCCTCATCTTCACCGTCACTTTTAGGATTTCAGTTTTAATACTCGTAATTAAATTAGTATCATGTAGTTTGATTAAAAAAATTTTTTTTTAAATGTAGACCACATAAAAACAAAAATGCTAGTATTTATCGAGTCTACACAAAAATAACTCATTTAAATGTATATTTAATATCGATAACTAAAAAATATACTGACAATTAGTTTGACAGGATTGTCACTTCTTTAAAAAAAATTAAATAATAGTAGTTGGGTGACCAAAATATGAACTGTGATTTGTGGATTTCATTTTTTTGAATACGAAATATAT